ATAAAAAATTCTATTTACAAAAACTATTTCATATACAGTAAAAAAACCCCTAAACCTCGACATTATGACCATTCCAAGGCTTGTTTTATTGTTTGTTGTGAGAAGTGTAATTTACTCAAAGAATAACACCTGTTGAATGACTCATTAAAAAATAATTACACAAAAAAGATTGAAAATAAATGGATACAAAAAAGCTATATGAGACAAACACTAATCAAAATAAAACTGGTATAGCAATATTAACATTGGCCAAAATAATCTTTATTATGGAGGAACATTATTAGAGATAAAGAGGTTCATTAATGATAAAAGAAGCAATTCACCTGGAACATTTAACAATCTTTAGCTTGTATTACTAAGCCAACATAGCCTTGAATAATATAAATCAAAAGTTAAAAATAAAGGCGAAAATGACAATTCACAATCTTAGTTTTCAAGGTTGTTTAAAGCACTTTTCTCAGTAACTATTATACCAAGGAGCTAACAATATTTGTAAGTAGAATATTTGAACAGCGTATGTAGCACCCTTCAACCATCAGTTATGGAACTTGATGTACATTATTTCAAGGACATATGGAACATTTATAAATACCAACCCTGTACTGGGCTACAAAGGAAGGCTCAAAATACAGTACTGAAGAATTGATAACCTTGGAGGATGGGCGAGCCATCTATGGCCAGAAGGCCAAATCCAGTTTGCCATCTGTTTTTGCAAATAAAGTATTATTGGAATACAGCCATATCTATTCATTTACATATTGTCTATGGCAATTTCACACTACAATGGGAGAGTTGGGTAGTTGCAACAGAGAATATATTGACCACAAAATTTGAAATATTTACTATCTGGCTTTTTACAGTAAAAGTTGCTGACCCCTGCCTTGGAGAATAGGTTCTTGGAACACAAAGCAATGTCAGAGATTAATAACACCCACCTTTTTACACCATATACAAGAATAGACTCAAAATGGATTAAAGACTGAATGTAAGACCTGAAACCATAAAACTTCTGGAAAGAAACATAGGCAATATACTCTCTGATATTGCTAACGGTAATATCAGAGATATCCCCCCGGGCAAGGGAAACAAAAGAAAAAATAAACGAATAGGAATATACTCTCTGATATTGCTAACAGTAATATCAGACATATCCCCCCAGGCAAGGGAAACAAAAGAAAAAATAAACGAATAGGACTACATCAAACTAGTGGATGGACATGGATGGACCTAGAGGTTATTATGCCGAGTGTACAGCAAAGGAAACCATCAACAAAACAAAAAGACAACCTACTGATTAGGAGAAGATATTCACTAATGCTATATCTGATAAGAGGTTAATATCCAAAATATATAAAGAACTCATACAACTCAACAACAAAAAAAATCCAATTAAAAAATGGGCAGAAGACCTGAACAGATACTTCTCCAAAGAGGAAATACAGATGACCAATAGACATATGAAAAGATGCTCCTCAGAAAAATGCAAATTATCAGAGAAATGCAAATTAAAACCACAATGAGATATCACCTCACACCTGTCAGAATGGCTATCATCAATAAATCAAAGAACAACAAGTGTTGGCAAGGATGCAGAGAAAAGGGAACTCTCATACATTGTTGGTGGGATTGGAAATTGGTACAGCCACTATGGAAAACAGTCTGGAGTTTTCTCAAAAAATTAAAAATGGGTATACCTCTTAAGCCAGAAATTGTACTTCTGGGTCAAAGAAAATCAAAACTAATTCATTAAAATCTCTGCATCTCAATATCCATGGCAGCACAATTTGCAATAGCCAAGATATGGAAGCAACCTAAATGCCCATCAACAGATGATTGGATAAAGAAGTTATGGTTCATATATACAATTGAATATTACTCAGCCATTAAAAAAATGAAATCCTACCATTTGCAACGACTTGGATGGACCTAGAGGTTATTATGCTGAGTGAAATAAGTCAGACAGAGAAAGATAAGTACCATATGATTTCACTTACATGCAAAATCTAAGGAACAAAAAGAAGAAAACAGACTAAAAAATCTAGACAATTTAGTGATGGACAGAGGGAGGATTGGGGGCTGGGGTGAAGGGTTAAAGAAGTATGAATTAGTAGTTGATAGATGTTCATGGGGATGGGGAGCACGGCATAGGGAATGCAGTTAGCATTAATACATTGGCGAGGTGGAAAACCAGAGAGAGAAGGAGCAATTAGGGGGATCGTTTTACAAACTATATAAATGTCTAACCAATGTACTGTATACTTGAAACCAATAAAAAGTAATTTTTAAAAATCATACTTATAAATAATACAAGGATCAAAGAAGGAAGTCTAAATAGAACTTAGAATATATCAATGTCTAACATTAAAATGTACATGTCAAAGGATGGGATACAGGTAAAGAGGAACTCAAGAAATTTTAGCCTTATAATGTTAATGTTAGAATATAAGAAAGATTGAAAATAGTGTGCCAAACATTCAACTGAAGGAGCTAGAAAAAATGGCCAATTGATTTGTTACAAGGATGCCAAGACAATTCCACTGGGGAAAAACTAGTCTTTTCAGCTAGAACAACTGGATATCCACATGCAAAAGAATGAAATTGGACCCCTACCTCACATCATATACAAAATTAACTCAAAATGATAAAAGACCAGAATATAAGAGCTAAAACTATAGAACTCTAGAAGAAAACATAGATATGAATCTTCGTGAGGTTGGATTAGGCTATAATTTCTTAGATATGACACAAAAAGCAGAGAAGCACCAAAAGAAAAAAAATGGTTAAATTGGGCTTCATCAAAGTTTAAAAATTTTGTGCTTCAAAGGACACTATTATGAAAATGAAAAGATAGCCTACAAAGTAAAAAATATTTTCAAATCATATAACTGATAAAGGCCTGGTCTTCATAATATATAAAGAATCATTATAACACAACAATAAAAACAAATAACCCAGTTAAGAATTGGACAAAGGATTTGAATAGACAGTTCTCCAAAGATGTACAAATTACAAATAGACACATGAAGAGATGTTCAGTATCATCAGTCATTAGGGAAATGCAAATCAAAACCACAATTAGATGCCACTTTATACCCATTAGGATGGCTATAATCAAAAGAGATTGATAGTAACCAGTGTTGATGAGGATGTGGAGACATTGGAACTCTAATGCTGATGCATTACTGGTGGGATTGCAAAATGGTGCAGCTGGTTTGAAAAGTAGTCTGATAGTTTTTTAAAAGGTGTTAAATAGAGTTACTGCATGATTCAACAATTCCACTTTTGCCATGTACCCAAGAGAAATGAAAACATGTCTACCAAAAAAGGTACACATTAATGTTCATAACAGCATTATTTATGATAGCTAAAAAGTGGAAACAACTCAAATGTTTATCAGCTGAGGAATGGGTAGACAAAATGTGGTATATCCATATTTGGAATTTTTTATTCCAAAAAATAAAATATTTTGAATAAAATGGAATTTTATTCAGCCATAAATGTAATGAAGAACTGATTAATGCTACAACATGGATGAACCGTGAAAACATGCCAAGTGAAAGAAGCCAGACACAAAAGGCCACATGTTGCATGATTTCATTTACATGAAATGTCCAAAATAGGCAAATCCATAGAGACATAAAGTAGATTGCTGGTTGCCTAAGATTGAGGGGAGGCAGAAATGGGGAGTAACTGCTGATGGATACAGAGTTTCTTTTGGGGGCGATGAAAATGTTGTGGAATTCTATAGTGGTGATGGTTGCACAACTTTGTGAATATACTAAAAACCACTAAATTGCACACTTTAAAAGGATGACTATTTTGGTGTGTGAATTATATCTAAATTTTTTTCAAAGAGAGAAAAGAAGCTGGAAAGGAAACATCTGAAAAATAAAAGTAGAAGGAAATAATAACATAAATAAAAATTAAGGAAATAAAAAAAAAAAAGAATCAAAGCCAAAAGTTTCTTTTTAGGGGAAAATATAAAAACTGAAAAAAAAAAAAAAAGCTCTAAATGAGAATAATGACATTCTCAGAAGTAAACTGAAAATGACACCTTAAATTGTCTAAATGATGAATAGGGGATGACCCCTCCAGGCCATATCCTCTCGGCCCTTGAGGTTGTTGAAAAGTAGTCTGATGGTTTTTTAAAAGGTGTTAAATAGAGTTACTGCATGATTCAACAATTCCACTTTTACCATGTACCCAAGAGAAATGAAAATATTTCTCTTGGGTACATGGTAAAAGTGGCATTGTTGTAAACATTTCTCTTGGGTACATGGTAAAAGTGGAAAACATTATTTACCGTAATTAATTATTATGTTGTTGCCACAGGTTTAAGCGGTTCTATCCCACCTGTCTCTTATTTCCAGGGGTCATACTTTGGACTCAGAACCTTAATAGAGCCTCTACTTCTTTCCCACATTCCTTTTTTAAAGGTTCAGATGTACTGAGAGGCTGAGAAGAGCCGGGAGATGTTATAAGGCTCTGCTTTTTCCAGGGGTTTATCTTACAAAGAGTTTCTTTTCTCAGCTTCACAGACTGGTTCACTTCGTTTGTCAGACTGGTCAAATTGTTAAAAAATTTGCAACATTGATGGAATTTGGTCAAGGCAGGAAATTCACTCAGTTCAATCCCTCAAATGTTCCTGGCTCAGAGAAGAGTACAAGCTTCTAACTTGGCTCCATCCCAAAATGGTGTGAGTTGTCTGAATCCACTTATTTCTGTGGCCCTCAGACTGCCCTTGGGCCTGATGGGACCTCATTCAGGGACTCCAACAAGCCAAACCCACTCCTGTTATATGTCTGGTACACTTATTGCACTTACTCTTGCCCCATCTGGAAAACTACCATCTAGGGATTCAAAACCCTGAAAAGACCAAATGCTCCCATTAGAACACGTTTTTAACATCCTCTTTGGTGGATTCATTGATAATATAATCTTAACTATAATGCACAGGAGGAATTAAAGGCAAAGTAAACAGCAGTGTGACTCTCTTGCAGATGGCAAAGAGAATGGCATGCTTCCACAGAGCCCTGGGACCTCAAATGCTGGAGCTGAGACCTTCTCTCTCCGGGTCCGAAGAGCCACAACCTCAAGGGCCGAGAGGATATGGCCTGGAGGGGTCATCCCCTATGTCATCGGCGGGAACTTTACAGGTCAGTAGCCCCAGATGAGGCTTGCTTTGGCACTGGGTACTTTTTCACCCTAGGTTGAGTTGGTCTTCCCAGGAAGGACTCAGGCGGGATTCAGCAGATGTAGAGGTCACAGCATTCCTATCTGCTTACACTCCCTCATGTCTACAAGGTCAAGTGCAGTAGGCCTGGGGAAACTGCAGTCTCTGTTGGGAGTATATCTCCAGAGGTGGTCACCTGGTCCCAAAGGCTTCACGTAGTGGGTGACATATGACCTGGTCTTGAAGGGTAGACAGGATTTGCACAGTGGGTATGTGAGCAAAGCCCTCCAGGCAGAAAAAAGAGTGTGAGCAGCTACGTATGGCGGCTATACCTGTCCTCTGCCTGGATGAGCACCCTGGACCACCCCCGCACCCTGCAGTACTCCACACAGTAACCAGAATGGGCCAGTAGACATCGCTGGACCTCCTGGATCCAATCACGGCTATAACATGTACCAGCTGTCAACCCTGGGGCAAGTTACTTAACTTCTCTGTGCCTCAGTTTTCTCTTATATAAATGGGGATGACGTTGTCTACTCCATAGGATCGTTCTGAGATTTAAGTAACTCAGATAAAGCAGTTAGAATGGTGCCTAGCATGTAGTAATTAGTAATTAATTATTTACCATTGATACTATTATCTTTAAAATATGTGAGTCATTGAGTGGCTTCCCTTTGCCACTCAGGAAACTGAAACTCCTGACCATGGAGCCCTTCTGCAGGCAGCCCTTAGCCCCCTCCCACAGAGTGTTTTACCTTCCCTCCCTTCTCTCTCCTCCTTAGTCTTTGTGCTCTACCCTCACCAGTCATTTCTTTTCTGGAACATGCCTACCTTACCGCCACCTTAGCACACTTGCACTTGTCCTCCTGCGTGGAGTGTTTTTTTCCCCAGACCCACTCCTGGCTGGCTTCTTCTTATCGTTAGAGGCTCAGAGCAAATGTCATGTCCACAGAAAGGCCTTCTTTGACTCCCTGATACCCCCACCAGCTACTCTCTCCCAGCACCCCGCTTTATAGCCTTTATAGCATTTGGTATCTTAACTGTCTTCTTTCACACCTAGTGTACTTTTCTGACCAAAGATTATATAACCTTTATCAAAATTAACTAATTTCATATAAAGAATTTTCTTTACACAGATTTTTGTTATTCTCTAATTAGTAGATAGCTATTTTTGGTGAGTGATTGAGCTATAAATAATTTGAACTAAAAGTGTCAAGATGTTTAAAAAATGGACAGCCACGTTACTCTTATTCTATATGAATGTTTTTAGGGACAATGATATGACACCACACCTACATCTTGTAGACAATGATGGGAACCTTCCCAGTGGTTGGTTGGTTGGTTTTTTACAACAAGGTCATTCTCGAATTCAGACCCTAGTTCCATCATCTTTTGTACTTCCTAAGCAGCTATTGTCCTAGCTCCTTCTCATTGCTTCTAGCAAAATCAAAACAGTCTTCTTTATATCAGATTGATAGATTTTGAAAAGAATACTTATTGCCTATCGATAACGATCAGACTGGAGTTTACAACTACTTTATTCTTGCTCCCAGACAATTTATTCATTGTTTTATTTTTCAACACGTTTCTAATCAAGGAACTGTGAAGATAGGTTCAGAGAAAGTATGAAATTCACTTATTTTCAAAGACCTTGCAGAAAATCAGGCTCAAAACTACTCCAGAAAATACTGAGTCTCCATGCAAAAGTAGCATGAATGTATATGCAAATTGAATTTGTAGAGTATACAGGAACACCTCCTATAGGTATAAAATGAGATGAGGGTGCGGAATGAAGTGCTGGTGAGCTACTTCAAAAGCCTAAAATTTCCCAGTTGAATGACCTGGGTAAGATTTTTTTTAAGTTTAGAAAAGTACTTTCAATACAAAGGAAAAGTTAGGAAGCCTAGGGTGGTTTGAAAATCTATTTTTACCCTGTCTTCCAATTCACAAACTCCTACTCTCTACATTTTGACAATTCAAGGAAGTTATATTGTATTTGTAGCAAGGTAAGTTATTATTCCTAGTGCATTTCTACTCTGGGGTCACCCAAACAAGCTTTTATTTTTTTAATCATTGGAGCAAGCTTTGTTGTAAGCCTGCATGCCTTAAAGCATCTAAGGAAGGCATGGACCCATGGAGAAAGTGATGAGCACTTGCCTTGTCATTTCAGGAAGCCAGAGGGCCATTTTTAAGCAGGCCATGAGACACTGGGAGAAGCACACCTGTGTGACCTTCATAGAGAGGACGGATGAAGAAAGCTTTATTGTGTTCAGTTACAGAACCTGTGGGTAAGTAAGTGAAAGCAAGACCGCCTCAGTGGAATCAGAGACAAGCAAAGCTGATGGCTCATGAGTCTTAAATTTTCTCTGTAAAACCAAGTATTTCCAATGAGCTGCAAAGCCCCAGATTTATCAGAAACTCTCCTTGCCCTCAATGAACTCACAATCCAGTGACAGAGTAAGTGGGTCAAGAGGAAGACTCTAAGAAGACAAAGGTTCTAGATTTCCTGTCATGGGAGCAATGGAAGGAATTGGGAGTATTTCATATGGAGAAGTAGTTCTGAAACAATTTATGTCAGTGACCTCACTGAGAATCTGATGAAGCTATGGGCTCCCTCATGATGGAAGTACATATACGCTAAATTCTGCATGAAATTTTATGGGCTTACAGATTTCCTCAAGAAAATGTAACAAATAATAAGACAAATGGATTATGCCTAAACTTATCTGTTATACCAATAAATGTAAGTGTGATCTGAGACAGAAAAAGTTCTCATATTGGTTCAAAAACTTAAACCCAACCACATGCTGCCTACACGATATGACTACTGAAGAAAATGACTCAGAAAGGTTTCAAAAGTTTAAAGGGAAAGAAGGCCTATAGGCAAATGCTAACAAAAAGAAAGCTGGGATCACAATTTTACTTTTGTTTTGTTTTATTTTAAAAGTTTTTTTTTTTTTTTTTTAGAAAAAAAGGTCAGACACCTTATAATGAGAAAAGGTAAAAGCCACAATAAGAATATAACTCATAAATCTTTATGCACCAAATAGCATAGCACTGAGTCATAAAACAAGCCTCAGTGAATTCAAGGGGAGTTTGACAGAAACACCAGAGACTTTATTTTATTTCTGTCAGTGCATGTAGATAACTGTCAAGTTGATCAAAAATGAAATAGAGATTTGTAGAGGATTAGAAAAATATAATTAATGGAGTTGATTCAATAGGTTTATCAGATTCTATAACTTGATACCACATCTCGTTTTAAGTGCCTGTTGAACTATTATAGACATTGTCCATCTATTAAGCATTAAGAACACCTTAATAAATTCAGAAAGGCAAAATAGCATCAAAAATTCTCTAATCGCAAAGCAATGAAACTAGACATAATAACATAACAAAATATAGAATAAACACCCCTGAATTAACTGGTAAGTTAAAAGCTGCCCCCACCATTTTTTTTTTTTTTTTACAACTCTTAGGTCATAAAGAAATCAAGATTAAAATTACAAGATATCTAGTTAAGGAAAGCCCTAGAGTTCAAAAATGAAGAGAGATGGCTGAAGCTATGTCCAAAGGAAAACCGACTGCCTCAAATATCTACATCACTAATTAACAATGACAATGAAATATTCAATTCAAAGAAGCTAGCAAAATAAATAAGAACATAAAAACCGCCACCACAACAAAATAAACCTAATGAGAACATAAGAAAATTGGGTAACACATTATAGGACTAATAAATCGAAGAGTGAATTCTTTGAATAAACAAACAAACAACCATAAACTACCTGTTAGTTTAACTAAGATTTAAAAAAGCAGCAATGCAGAAGTATACAAAATCAGAAATGAACAAGGGGGAAATAGCCACAGATACAGCAGAATCATAAGAGAATATTTTGTAAAATCTAGGGTAAGAAATATGGAAGTCTTGATAATGTGAATGACTTCAAGACAAATATAAAGTGCTGACACAGACCAGTAACTGTGAAAGAAATTGAAAAATTGAGGGAAAAAGCTCTCTTCCTCAAAGCACCACATCTAGAGTTTCACAGATGAATTCTTTCAAATCTTCATGAAACAGATTATGCTGGTACTATTTAAGCTTTTTAGAGCATAGAAAAAGAACACTTCCTTCCAAATTACTTTTAAGGAACTATCATGACACTGGTACCCCAAAATGACAAACACGGCATCAGAAAAAGAGACAAGTATAGACTCATCTAACTTATGAATGGCCATGTCAAATCCTAACTAAAATGTTATAGAGAATAAGAAAGTGAGCTGCCAAGAAGATATGTCTAAGGAATACAAGACCAGTTCAACATTAGGAAATCTATTTTCATGATTCACTATATTGATAGAAGAGAGAAGCCATATTCAAATCTCAATAGATGTTAAAAAGGCATCTGCACAATTTAACATGCATCTTTTTTTTTTTTTAAAGTAGCCAAGATAGCACAGGAATAAATGTCAAGGATAGATCCTTGACTTACTCTCTCTCTATATATATACATAGAGAAAGAGATAAAGGGAGAGAAAATATTATATAACAATATTTAATAGAGGTTAACTGGGTGATGGATTATAGGCCATTTTAATTTTTTTATACCTTTCTAGTTAGTAATAATCAACAAATATTATTTGAAAAAATAATTATGCCCAGAAGGAGAGTCATCCCTAAGGCTCTCTGTTAATGGTGTCAAGACTCATGCTTTACACAAACTCAGCTGCCCCTTTCCCCATCTCTCTTCCTTGTCATCAGTGATGGTCCAGTAGACTCAGTGGTAGAAAAGTCGGAGAGGCTATGTGCATTATTCCAGGAAGAGAGACCATATCTCTTTTTGGACTCTCAGGTGGATACATGAGCACCAAAAAGGTTAAGAACCATTTTTAGAGGTTATTTCTGTATTGGAAGGGAAGTTGGACAATGAGAGCACTTTCAGCTCTAAAATTTTGTAGGTTTTTTTTAGACATACACACACACATACACACATACACACACTGGGGGAGGGGCACTAGATTCTTGCTATTTCCTGACTGCTGACCTGGTATTTCTGCAATTGTCCAGCTGTTGTTCCTATGTTGGGCGCAGAGGAGGAGGCCCACAGGCTATATCCATTGGGAAAAACTGTGACAAGTTTGGCATTGTGGCTCATGAGCTGGGCCACGTGGTTGGGTTCTGGCATGAACACACCCGCCCAGACAGAGATCAGCATGTCACCATCATCAGAGAAAACATCCAGCCAGGTAAGGAACTTGTGTGGAGTCTGGAAGTTAAAGGCCACGAAGGTGGTATCCATGGGGTAGGGGGTAGGTATGGAGGCAGTGACCCTATTGTACAGGTGTTTGTTACCAGCATTGCCATTGTCCATCTGTGGCCCTTCTTGGGACATCGTCTGCCATAGCTTGTAGGTTAGACAGAAGCAAAATGACTTTCCATGTTGTAAAGGACAACGAAGTCCAACTCCATTTCCTAAAAGGAACAGAATCGACCAGAACACTGTTCCAGCATCAAAGCTCATAAGCCAAAAAAGTGCTCTTGGTTGCTTTTATGAGTCATTTTTGCTGACTTAGGCAACACATCTTTTGAAACTGAAATACAATTAGGACAGGAGTACATATAAAAACAGTATTTCTGCCTAGAAATGTTCTGCCCCAAGGCAGATAAAGTGTCTAGATTTTGTAAAAAGTACTTTCTCATATTAAGTAATTTTATATAGAAATTCATAATGAACGTCAAAGTAGCTGGTTGAATAATATGGTTGCCTTAAAAAATGCTTTCAAGCGTCTGAATTGTGAACTATCTGGGATTGAACTTAACTCTGACTTGTTTTCTTTTGTTTTTACAGTAGCAAGAGGAGAGTTTTTTATCGTTATTGTTGTTGTTTTGTTGTTGTTCTTTTGTTTTGCAATCAGTTTGATAACTGACCTGCCTGCAAACTTAGTTTAAGAGTTTGGAGTGGCATGTGGGGATGGATGTTGGGTGGTGGGGTTGGGAAAACATAGGGCTTATTCTAAGTTTTAAATTTCAGTCTGTTAAAAAATGGCAACAAGAACCATCACCAACCCAGTGATTTGTTGAGCAGGCTAACTGAGCTCTCGGAAGTTGCTATGGGCCCTCCTTCTCCCCCTTCTGCCTCCTTTCAGGTGCCTGCCTTGGTTTTCAAAGGCCTTAACCGAGTGTTGTGTCACAGGTCAGGAGTATAATTTCTTAAAAATGGAAGCTGGGGAAGTGAGTTCTCTGGGAGAGACGTACGACTTTGACAGCATCATGCACTATGCCCGGAACACCTTCTCAAGGTCAGAATCTATGGTTATGCCTTGTCTGTGTTTTACTGTGCCTGCTGCAGGCTCGGGTCAGATTCCTGGAGGTCTGTGGAGAGTGGGTCTCTCCATGCTCCTGGCACAGTTGGTACGTCTGTCAGAAATACAGTGTGTCCTCTGGGCTGCAGTGAAATATAATCTAATCAGGTTCCCACTAATAAGATTGAATCCCATTGTGAAGCTGGTATTTCATTATGCCCTAGTGTCACGATCAGCAAACTGAAAAAGGGACATTATTGACAGGTTGGCTGTGATAATAACTTAAGGCTCTTTGTGTAATTTCTAGTGGGTGGGGTATCTTCTAAAGTACGTCCTTGATGTAAGTATGGTGGCATTTACCATTTCTCCTAGAGGAGGTTTGGTTTATTGGAAGGTAGGCTGCGTTAGAGCTGGGGTGGGGGTGGGGAGCACTCCTAAATCATGGATTCATTTCAGAGAAGAGGATATATTGAGGCTCCAGCCAGTTTGAGGGCACACGAGTAGCTGGGGTCAGAGTCAGAGCAAAGATCCAGGTCTCCTGCCTGCTGGTCACACATGATGGTCGCTGGTATCCCCAAGTATGGCGGGACCCGTTATTTATGGCTGGCATTGGCAGGATCTGTTTTGATGAGTTAGCGCTGTACTGGACCAGGTGTTAACTATTTTCAGTACTGCCCCTGCTTCTAGACCACACGAGCGTTTTGTATGTAGAAGTTTGCCCCTCCTAGTCCCAGCTTTGTAGATCTCTCTAACTTTGAGGTGCAAATATTTTTTTCTCTTGGTACTTTTTTCTTAGTCGCCTCTTAAAACCAGCTCATCTGCTATTTATTTATTTATTTATTTACTTATTTATTTATTTATTTAGTGAGTTAATTAATCATAAAAAAAAAAGATTTGAGGTGATTACCAGTTTAAACAGAAGACAAAAAGAAAATAAGTTGGTGAGGAAATGTAAGCATGGGGGAGGGGGGAAAATAAGGGTAGATAACCAGGTTGAAGTTTGAAATGAATTTACTATTCCGAATATATGCCATAAAGTACAGTTGTTGAGATGAGCAATAAATATTGTCCTGTGCTCCCTGGCAGTCACAGCAAAGAGGGAAACAGTCCATTTCATGAGTCACTCTGTCCATAAAGATCGAAGAAAATCATTTGTTCAAGAGACACGCAGCTCTTGAGAGTGAAGGAGAAACTATTTAGCCAGGGCTCCTTGGCTCTTGGGTAAGGCTGCTGAAAGCATGTGGTTGATGAGGTCATAGAATCGTGGGAGAGAGCCTCCAAACCCCAGCATCCCAAGTTCTCAGAGGGCGTTGTTCCCCCAGCCACATAGCTAATTTAGTTATGATCTCCATCCTGCACCCAGACTGGAACTCTCCAGAGCTCTAATGGGCAGAGTTTGGTCTACGCCAGCATCTTTGAACAACTGACCTGGGCTCTTTATCAGAAGATACAACAGGCAACGTGGTGTAATGAAAAGACCACTAAACTGAGAGTCGGAAGACTGGGTTCTAGTCTTAGTTCTCCCAGGAACCATGCTATTGAGGGAAGTCTAGGCAGTAATTAGGGGCAGCTATGTGCTGGGTCTAATAGCCACCTTCCTGGGCCTCAGTTTCCTCATGACAGAGTTGATCTAGATGTTCTCCACATCCCCTTCAGCTCAAGTATTTCATGTTGTAATTTCTAAATCTGGTGCAGATTTAGAAGGCTTAACAGATATGATGTCATTTGTTGCCATATGGAAATCTGAGGCTTCCTCCTCCTTCATTGGGAAATTGAGGTTTTAGGCACCTACTCTGGGGGTGTAGGGGAGAATCTCAGGAAGCCAGTGGGGCTGGCAGAATGAGAGATCCCCTGCAGAGGCCAGAGTCGGCAGAGATGCTTGGGCGTTGGAGCCGGGCTGACTCACAGGCTGGGAAATGGTGCAGGGAAGAGTCGAGTCACACCACATCAGCCCTAGGGGCTGCCAGCTGCCGAGTAAAGACGAGATGTTGATTTTGTTAGGGAATCAAAATCAAGTTGGTCCAAGTGAGAAGCTTGTCCCTTTGGTCTTGTTTCTGTGGCTGTCATTACTCTTCATACTGCTTTATAATTATCAATTAATTATTATTATACATTTATCTATTAATATTTATCTGTTGCATTGCCCTCTCCCTCACTAGACTGAGATCTTTGAGGACAGAAACTATCTTACTCTCTTCTAGTTCCCACCACCCAACACAGTGCCTGGCACAGAGTATGTGTTCAATAAATATTTGTTAAATGAATAACTTAATGAATTGGTCGAAGGAGGCAGGGAAATTCACAATGCTGGAGACTAGGTGAGGAAAGAAATTTTCATTATCCTCATTGCAGTCCTTTCCAAATACTCACAAATACAGTGGTCACTTCATTGAGGAGAATCTACAAGTATCTGCGATGTAGGGAATTTTGGATAAATAACTACTAATGGGTTGTAGGAACTGCACTGTCTTCTCAGTGTCTGCTCTGTACCAGTTACTATGCAAAGCTCTGAAGCCAGAGGCCAAGGCAGGAAGAATGCAGACAGAGCATCTTCTGGCACCAGCATTTTTTTTTCTTTAGAAAGTCTCATTTTTTAGCCTTTGATCTCGAGCCCACAATGCCAGCCCCTTCGCCCTTCAGGAGATAACCATTATTATTAATACATTTGTCAATGTGAAGCACTTTACCAGCACAGACCAGTGGAAGCCCATGGACCAAACTCACGAGATAATAGTTCCTCATCAAGAGTACCTGGAACCCCTCAGAGGGAGATTGGCAGGGAGGCAGCACAGGGTATGATGGATAGCTGGGTAGGAGCAGGGCACCTTCTCTGAAGGCACTGTTGGGAGGAAGACTTCCCCTTCTGCTACAGTGATGTTGTCTGTTGCTGCAGAACAATCTACTCCAAACTTAGCAGCTTACGACTTATTTTTTATGATATTGTGGGTTATTCTGGCTTATTCTTCTCTGATCTTGCCTGGGATCATATTGTGGGTTATTCTGGCTTATTCTTCTCTGGTCTTGCCTGGGATCACACCTGCAGCAATAGTCATTTGACAGCATGGTTGGGCTAGGTAGTCCAGGATGGCTAGTGCCAGGTCTGGCCGTTGTGCTGCCTGCCTACTAGGACCCCTTGATTCTCTTCTGTGTGGCCTCTCATTCTCCAGTGAGTTAGACTGGGCGTCTCATCACATGGGAACTCAGGGTTCCTAAAGGCCACAAGACTCTTAAGACCCAGGCTCTGGAACTTGCATGATATCACTTCTGTCACATTCTGTTGGCCAGAGCAAGTTACAGGCCAGCCCTAATTTAAGTGATGGAGAAACTGGTTCTACCTCTTAATGGGTGGAGTGGCAGCGTCACGTTGCAAAGGGATGTAGGTATTAGGAGGGATGTAGGTATTAGTCGTTATTTTAACAACTTACCACAGCTACCTTCTCACCTCTGCCCTGGAGGCCAGAGTGGTTTCAGCAAACCTATTTTGTAGCTAGTGGATACTTGCATTGTCCTTTGTGCAATCTTCTGCATGGACTTTCAGAAAACTATGTTGTTCGATAGGACATTTATCAATGACACCCTTACCAATGGGCTTTCCTGGCCCACTTTTTATCAGAAGTTTCCCACTCTCTAACTCCATGTCATTACTTCTGGTCATGTGTCCCCTGGAGCTAGCCTGCACATCGTCTTTGATTCTGTAAAAGAGCAGAAAATGGCCTATAGAACATTTACTCATCTGGGGGCAAATGCTACTCCTGCTGATGAGAAACCCAGGCTTCATGTGCCTTTACGACTGAGCTGTCTCCTTCCAACTTTATTCCCTCTAGTTTATGGCAGCTTCTCCCCTCTCCCCTTGATTAGACCCGGGCTGTGGGGAGTGGCGTCCTTGGAGGTTTTGTTGGGCAGGGGTCCAGGAGATGAGGAGACAGTTCTGTGGTACAGGGGTGTCTTTGTATAGAGAACTTGGAGTTGACAGTTTTATTCCTTAAGGCATCTGCCAAACCCTTTCTTAGTTTAGCAGAATGTCAATGCTAAATATTGTCCTACTTAAAAGCGGGGATGCTACTACAGTGGTTTACATAGAGGACACCTCTTGTAATAAACATCTTCCAGAACCCATCACCTTGCTGGCAGCTCAGGATGTGCTAGGGTGGGGTAGAAGTCGGGTGTCCCAGCCCCCGAGAGTTGTCTCAGAGTGAGCTCTTGCTGTTCCTGCTGCTCTGAAGCCGCCGGTGTTTTTAACTCTATCCTTTATCTAAAATATCTTAAGGCCTCCTGTTTCTTGGGCAGTGGGAAACACTGGCTGGAAGGAGGAAGATGCCGGGAGGTGGGCTCCAGGCCAGCCTGGGTTCCAGGGCTGGCTCTTGATTACTACCTCTGTACTCTGGGTGACTCACTTAAGTTCTGTGGGCTTGCTCTTCTCCCCAGTAGCAAGGAACCCTAATAATAGTGGTATCTGCTTCCCAGGGTGTTATGAAGATTAAATGAGATGGTGCATGTAAGGTGTCCATCCAGGGCCTGGCACATAGAAAGGGTCTGTAAACAACTTGGTGAGTGTGAGTATACATTTCTGCCTAGCAGGCCACTAGCCAAGTCACCTATATGGCGTGGGTCATCAGCAGGGTCAGTTAGTCTGGGGTGCTAAGAGATTGTGGTGAGCCTTGCATTTTGAGCAGCAAAATTTCTTCAGGGGAATCAAGAAAATAATTACAAATGAACACCTGTTAGGGCAGAAGGATCTATTTTTTGATTAGTAGGTGATCGAATTTTGGATTTTATGTAGAGTTGTCGCTTGTGACTTGAAACTTGGTGAGGTCAATGAAGGAAGCCAAAGATTTCACTGAAGCTTCTCTAGAGGACTCCAGTTCCAGAGATGAGATGATGGGAATTAGAGACAGTAGGCCAGGTGGCTAAACATTGAGGGTAGGAGTGTTAAAGACTATTTCAGCAGATGGTCTAGGCTCCTGTGTGCTAATGTTGGAAAGAAGGTGAGGCTGAAGTCTAGTTTAGAAAAAAAGTATATACGAAAGTGAAAAGGAGGAAATAGGGATAATATATATTTTCCAAGATAGTGCAGAATTTAGGGGAAAGGACGTATTTGCAAGAGAAAGAGAAGAGAAAGGACAGTGCAGCTAATAACTAGATAGTGAGAATTGTTGCGTTCCCTTTTGGGTGTAAATAACTATCATGCAAAATCTTTTGAAGACAGTGTTCTATCTTGGCTGCATAATTTAGTTCAAGAAGTATTTCTTGAGGCCTGCGATGTTCTAGTCCCTGAGGACTTAGAGATGAAAGACCTGGTCTCTCTGCTGGAAGTACTTACTGTTTAGCAGAGAAGACAATTATCATCACCCCTCGAAAAAGACAATACAGTATGATAAGAGGTTAGATGAATAAGACCCAGAGGAAAGAATGATTGACTCAAGATGGGAGGGAAGAAGAGCTCAGAAGACTTTTAAGAAGGAAAGCCATGTGATGGGGTTTTGGAGAATGAACAGGAGTTTGCTAGTGGACAAGAGGATGGGTAGTGGACAACAGCTTCGCAGAGGATAGCATGTGCAAGGGTATGTTTGGGGCTAGCAAGAGTTCAGTGTTGCTTCAGATAACGAGTGAAGTGGAGGTGTCAGGAAATGTGGTCAGAAGCCCGTGAGCCAAGGGCCTGGAAATCCAGGTGGTGATCAGAGGTCAGTGAAGGCTTCTAAGTAGAAAGGGCACACACCTGCCCTTGCATTTCAGGACAATCACGTTGCGGCGGTGTCTGGGGTAGAGCAGAGGTGGCTGAGTCTACAAAAAGGGAAGCCAGTTAAGAAGCCACTGGGATGAATTCAGGAAGGGGAAACTGATTGCCTGAGCTGAGGCAATGGTCTGGAACAAGGAGGAGGGCGTGGATTTAAGGCATGTCTAGAAGGTGCCATGGATAGGACCTGGTTCCTGGTCTCTACAAGGGAACATGAAGGAGAGGAAGGAGCTGCCGTCACCTTCAGATTCAGTCTCGGGAGATAAAGTTCATGGAAGGAGCAGGAGAATAATAGAATACATTCTGTTTGGAATGCGTTGGATATAAGAGGCCCATAGGACAGCCCAATGGAAATTTCGCGAGGCATCTGGCTTAGCAGATGGTTCTGGGGCTGGAATCAGAGAATTAGCTGTGAGCCTATAGGTGGTAGTTAAAGCCCAGGAAGCAGGTGGAACAGGAGAGAGGAGAGAAGGGGGAGAGAGGCCAAAACCAGAGGAACGGTCCTTATGGGGGAAGCAGAAGAAGAGGATCCTAACTTAGTGCTCAGAGAGAGCAGTGCCCTGGGAACCAGGACGAAGAGAATCGGAGGAGGGAGGGGACAGCACGGATGTCAGTGCTGTAGAGAAGGCAGGTGAAGATTGATAAGTGTCCATCCAAGTTGTCAATTAGTCTGTGACTGGTGACCGTTGCTGATGTGGATTAAGGTGAGCATCCAGACAGAGAATGGAAACAATTCTTTCCAGAAACTTGGTTAAGAAGGGAAGAAAAGAAACAGGGTGGTCACTGGAGAAGGAGCCGGTTCAAGGAAAGGCCCTCCCCTCAGGAGAGGTCCCAAGTCAGGGGTCTGGGAGCAGAGTGGGGGGGACTCAAGCAGGGTGTAAACCATGCCCACAACATGGAGGTGTGAATAGGGCCAGCATTCAGCCAGGCATCCTGGTGTCCACTTGTCTGTTTCAGTCACTTTAGATTCCATTCATGTGGGAGTAGAATAAGACATTAGAGTTAGAAAGAGCTGCCACGACCATCTAGGCCAATCTCTTATTGTTTAGAGACGTAAACTGTGGCTCAGAGAAGGGAAGAGACTTGTCTGAGCTCAGGTGGCAGAGCCAAGCCTTACACAGAAATCTCTAGGCCGGGGCTCTCGACTACCTCTAGCTGTCTGCATTCATCTCATTTTCCATCTGATTATTCTTCTGACCAGCAAGGTCCCTAAACTCCAACCCCCATTACTCACCAAATCATCAACCAGCACTTCCTGACCAGCCCCTAAGAGTCTAACACTGTACTGGTTCCCAAGCTCCCTCTGGAGCCTCTCCAGGACTTTTCCGTGCTCAGTACTGCCCTTGCACAACTCCAGGGGGTGCCACTCACACCATAGTCTCTCAATGGTGCTCCCTGCAACTGTGCATGTGGACCTGCCAGGGGCTTCAAGGAAATGCTCAACAGACATCAGTAAGGAAGCCCTTAGGCCACTGGGCTAGGGCATATTTTTAAACTTGGCAGAGTCATTTTCCCATTGGAAAGTGAGCAAGCAGCTGATGAAATAGAATGCTCAAATGCCAGCCTGAGAGCAGGCCAGGGGGTAGGAATGTTGATGAGGTTATGGGCAAGGCAATGGAGACTGTAAATCCCAGCGCGGACAGCCTGACAGCCTTGACTTTTCCTTCTCCTTTCTCTCCCTCCCTTTTCTTCCTGTAGAGGAGTTTTCTTAGACACCATCCTTCCCCGTCGAGACGACAATGGCATCAGGCCAACCATTGGCCAGCGTGTGCGGCTCAGTCAGGGAGACATAGCTCAAGCCAGGAAGCTGTACAAATGCCCAGGTAACTGTGAACCCTGGGGAGTCCCAGGGCCCCATGGCACCCACGGAGCACAACTCCACTGCCCTTGGCAAACATTCCCCTTGGCTAGGAGGACATCCTGGGGAACCTGGAGAGACTGCTCCCTGGCAGCTGTGATTTCTGATGTGTTGCTATTAGGAGGTGTTAGTATAGAACCCCAAATGGTGAAGTGGTTGCTGGTAGTGAAGCAAATAACAGGTTTTGGAGCCCTCAGCTCAGCTAATGGGAAGCTGCAGAATTTCCTGGTAAAGCCCTGATATTCAGAAGAGAAAGAAGGTCTAGCAGAACAACCGTGCACTGGGGGACTATGGGGAAAGCACCTCCGCTTTCTATGGGACTAAGGGATTTGTTTTGGCAAAATAAGAACTAAGGGTTTTGCAGGAAGATAAAGAATGAAGGCGAATGCTTTTGCAACGGTGGGAGTCCGCTTCCCAAACACTGGGAGGGGAGGGAGTCTCACTGCTGTAAATGAGGTCGTTTCTATAGCCTTGGGGCTCTCTCAGCCATCCAAGGTGCTGGTCAGTAGCTACTAGGCTGCCATTGAAGTCTGGACAGTACACAGGGGTCTGAGCAGATAGCCGCTTCTCTGCCAGTTCAGAAGCCCGTTTCCCTTGAATTTGCCCTCTTTGCTTTCTGTCCCCTTGGCTTCAGCATCATCACACCCTCTGCTGGCCTCGGGGAGAGCTCACATTGACCCTTTTAGGCTGTTGAACGTCAATGAAAAGCATTGGTTACAGCTGCCGAGTGTTTATCATTGTTGGGGCAGAATGCATTTCAGTGGTTCAGGGAGGAAGAATGAAATTCTATTAACAAAAAGTCCAGTAGCCTTTTCCAAACCCCCAGATAAGACATACGGTTGGACCATGGGACAGAATATTTGAAATACGGGCCATCTTAGAAAATCTGGGCTATCGCATTGCCCTACTGAGCCTTATCACAGGGCCTACAAGGGACCATGTGAGGCTTGCTCCATCATGAAACTCTAGGAAATATGTTCATCCAGCTATTAGTCATTTGGGAGCACGATAGGGCTGCAGTACAAGACACACATATCATATAACCTTGATGAATTGAAAGAGAAACCTTATATGGTCCCGTGGGAAATGCCGTAGTATTTATTTAGTTATAATGTATATGCTTCTGACTTCCCAAAAGGATTCGAGGCAGCTGGTAAATACCATGGAGCCATACAGCAACGTATCTGTTCCTGCAGAATGTTGATGATTCTTCTGAAATAATTTCCATGGAACCCTCGGGGGTGTTGACTGCCGGGCATAATTCTCATGAAGCCTGGCAGTTGTTCAGTAATACGATACTGAAGCCCCGATATCCAGGATTTCCTGAGGCCGACGATGGGCCACTCTCCAGCTCTCCCTTCCTGCAGCTCCAAAAGTGCAGCTCCCAGTCGTTTCGAGTAGTGGCTGAAAGCGAGGATGGTAGCCGTGCATAGTTTGAATTGCCCTTAGGAAAATGTGCAGAAGGATGCTTCTTTCCCACACTTTGGGGGTGGCCACATAAGACAGGGGGGCCCTAGCAACCCAGTGTCTTTGTCTTCGGAGTTTGAGTCCCTGGGAGTCTGGGGAATGTGAAACCTCTGACTTCCAAGCTCACTCATACAGGTGTCTTTTTTGAGGACGAATTAGGGAAATATTTTTCACATACATAAGGATTATGTTCTAGGCTCTTGACCTAGCAACCCTCAAACATCGAAGGGCAGAAGAACCTGCAGAGTATTCCAGCTTCCTGGGCCTCTGGCCATTTTTCTGTTTTCCTGACTATTTGGTAGTTCATTCAGAGGTGGATAGCAGAAAAAGAAGAGGCAAGATTCAAATTAACAGCCGAAATAAATTTTTAAAAGTTTTTATTTTTTTTTTGCTTCATCTATTTGCACGTTCATATTCTCTCTGCCACAGGTATTGTTAGTAGTAAGTATAAGGCTGCTACTGAGACGATCCATTTCATTTAATGCAGATGGTTTCACTAACCTGGGCAGGTCTCATCCATTTTACAGATAAGAAAACTAAAGTCACCACCACACAGCAGGCTGGAGAGCTAAGGTTCAAACCCAGCTCTAGGCCATGCTCAAGCCCGAGAGCCTCAGAATCCCTGGGGTGTTCCTTTTTGGTGCACGGACCCTATTTTCACTTTTATTGGCCAGGAAAATGTCAGTCTGCCTGGCACGCTTCTCACCAGTGTGTCTTGAGGGCTCTGGCTGAAAGCGTGTCTTTGCTCAGCAGCCCCAGACAGGGAGCTCGCAGGCGGGGAGTGTGTGCGATGTCAGAATCACAGTTGTCGTTTCACTTGTGCAGCGTGTGGGGAGACCCTGCAGGACTCAACGGGAAACTTTTCCGCACCTGGGTTTCCAAACGGCTACCCTTCTTATTCCCATTGCATCTGGAGGATATCCGTCACTCCAGGGGAGAAGGTAGGTGTGGAGCTACCTCAGGAAATGACATAGCATTTGTTGAGTTGGGTGACACACGATGACTTATTATTATTATTAATAGTAGTTATATTATGGGCACCCACTATGTGCCAGGCACTGTGCTAGCTTGCTTAGTCTTATTTATTTCTAGACTTTTCAGCCAGTCTCCCTCATATAAATGGAGGCCTGTGTACTAAATGTGGACGTGAGTTATAAATCAAGCTCACAGTTTATAAAAACAAAGTAGGCTCTATCCGTCTACTTTGATAAACACACTGTCAGAATGCCCTGGAAGGCAAGGATCCAATTTAGAATTTCTTGACGCCTCGGAGCGCTGCTCTGGCAGGTTGCAGTACAGGGAGAGCTGGCTGCCCACCCGTGGCTGGCCCCTCCTTCTCTACCCAGCCCCATTTCCGTCTCAGGAGTTCATATGGCAACACCCAGCCCACACTCCTAAGCACGTTCTGCTCCTGCCTGGCAAACAGCCATTCCTTGGCTACCCCTCCAGTGTTAACCGACTTACCAGATGTGCCGTCAACCCTCAGGAGGATGAATCTAGGACAGAAGTCTTTGCACATCCTGGAAGTAGGCTCAGGGCTATTTGGACTGAGAATTCCAGGATCCTGGGCTCCTAGAGTGAGGTCTAGAAGCTGGACAGGCTCTGGGCGGGCATGACTATTTCAAGATTCTAGAGACAAGCCCAGGACAGAAGCCTCTTTTGCCCTGGTCCACAGATGGTATGTTCCTGACCCTACTGCAAGGCGCATCTCCTTATATCCATTGATATAGACAAAGAATCTGAGGCTCAGACATTTTATAAATTGCCCAAATTCACAGTAAGATATAGAACAGAGAACTGGGGCTTCTGCAGTCCAAAGCTTGTGTTTTCTTCACTACACCTCTCTACAAATCTAAGAGTTCTTCAAGTTGTCTCAAAGTAGATGCAGCTATCTTTGAGATGCCCGCTCTGTTCCTTGGGTCTAGCTCCCTGCAGTTATACCCATCGTAGTTGATCTCACAACATCATGACTGCTGGTTTATTTGGCTGTCCCCCTTCTAGGCCCTAACCTCATCAAGGACAGAGATTGTTTACCCCCAGGCCCCCAGCACCCAACACAGCCCATGGTATAGGGTCACACGATAAGCATTTGTTGAATGGATATGTAGATGGATGAGTGGCCAAGTGAAAAACTTGCAACTGGGGGGGTTGTTGGGGGGTGCTGGAGTTTTTCAGGTACCTGTGGCCAACTTTCAGGTATTCTAATTCATAATGTTAAAAAAAAATGTTCATTTAAACATCAAGTTAAACATAGTATGATAACCAGAGAGAAATAATGTCTAGGAACCATTGGGAGCATTTTCTATGGACTGGGTACTCTTCCCAGCATATTATGTGGATTCTCTCATTTAATCCTCACAACAACTTTATGTGATAGGTGCTATTACCACATTCAGTTTGCAGGTAAGGAAATAGACTTGCCCAAGCCAGCTCAGTTTGTTGCAGAGCTGGGATTTGAAACCAGGCCATTTGACTCTGAGAACCTGGATGCTTAAACGTCATCCTGTATTATTCTACAAAGGGGAGAGGCTAATAGATATTTGAACATGCATTCACACACACTCACATGCCCATGTACACACACACAATACCCATAAGCACACGCCTTTCCTCTGGCTGCATTTATGACAGTGTGGTTGTCATCTTGAGGCTGAGAGACTCCAGACCTGTCTGCTTAGAGTGGAGGTGCCATCCCTGTGCCTACAAGAGGCCTCAATGGGAGAGAGGCAGGAAGGAGGAGGAGAAAGGGGAAGAGGGTCTGGTAATCCCCAAATCGTTGAATTGCTCTGTGTAGCAGAGGCTCTGTGATATGATTGAACTGCTTAAGATTCACCCAGCCTTAATTATTATTGCTTACTGGGAGCAGGGAGAATACATATCATTGAAATTCCTGCACCAATTATTTCAATTTCTGCTTCGCCCAGCCTTCCCCAGAGCTGCGAGTAATTAGCAAACTTGATTAATTTGAGTATCACCTCCTGTTCATCACCTCTTCCCCTATGGTCTTTATGGCTCACTAACATACTTAAAATAATTAGCCTGAATAATTATCCCGTTCATGCAGATCATGAATGTGTTACCAAGGAAGTTGTAATAACGTTTCCTTTCTGAAATTTTAAAAAGCAAAGGCTAAAGAATCATATTGCAACCAGCTAGCAAGCATTTCTGAATGCAAACACTGAGAGGTGTGCAAAGGGAGTCGAAGGTACAATATAAGAGAGTTAGAACTTAGGGTCTCCCCTCAGCCCTGGGGAGTCTGATTTCATTGAAGGACGGGCATTCACTTGGCAGCAGTATTGTTTTAAGCTTCTAAGGTGATTCTAATGTGCAAGTAGAGTTGAGAACCACTGGTCTAGTTTGAAAGAAAAGGAACATATCACACACACACACACACACACACTCTCTCTCTCTAATTGAGAACCACTGGTCTAGTTTGAAAGAAGAGGAACATATCACACACACACACACACACACACACTCTCTCTCTCTCTCTCGCTCTCTCTCTCTCTCTCTCTCTCTCCAACACAGGGATGAGCTGGCTTGTCTTCTTGTACTGACTCTTCACTTTTTAGGAGGGCTTCTACAGGGCTTTGTGATAGAAGGTGCTACTTGTCCTGAGACCTGAACATTGCATGGCATTGTCCCAAGGGAAGGAATGGGCATTCTCAACATCGGTGAAGACGGGCAGCCTGTGAAGTGCACTTAATGTATCCAGTTTGTGGCGCACTCCGTGTACACTCAGTGAGGCTCGGTTTCTGGAACTGCCATTTACTGAGTGACTGTTATGTGCCAGGCATAGCACTATATACTCTCTATATAGTTTCTTGTGCAGTCCCCTTAACAACCCAGTGGTGTGCATATTGTTTCATAGATGAGAGAACTAAAGGTCCAAGAGGACAAGTATTTTCCCAAGATCTAAGAGCTAGTAAGTGGTAGGGCTGAGAAGAAATCCAGATCTGCCTGACTGTAAACATACCTGCTCTGAAATCATTTTAAGAACGAGGGGAGATTTCCAACGAGGGAAAGATCATGTCCATCTGAGCAGTCGCAGAAGGACTTGGGGGACAACGGACAGGCCCCATGAGCGGGACCTGGAGAGGGTTCTGTTTACCTAGATATATTAGGGCACACTGGGAAATAAGGTCACCCTTACAGTGGGCGCTGGAGGCTCTGGAAGGTGAGCAGAGAGTTTAATTTATGAAATGGGGGCAAAGGGAGCCATGGAAGTTTTCTGAGCATAGGAAGGCTCGAGCAAACATCAGCTCTAAGCGCGACATTGATCTAGAAGTCCTAGTGTGCAGAATGGACGGGGACATAACAAGCAGGAGTTCAAGAGTCACCTGATCAGGAGCAATGCAGGAAGAAGGGCGGATGAAGGGGCGGCGAGACTGGCTTGGAGCAGGGGATACAAACATCTTAAGGGAAAAGAGTCCGTGAGCATTAAGATGAATAATGGGGGCAAAGTAGAGATAACCAAGGTGTTCCACCTGAGTGACTGGGGCGATAGTGTCACCTGCAGACAGGAAAGCTGGACGGGAAGTGCATCTTTTTGAGGTGCCCTCACAGTTCATGGGAAGCGGAGAGGACAAGAGGCAATGGAGAAGAGAGACAGTTAGAGAGAGAACAGGCTTGCATGGTGAAAACCAGAGAGGAGAGGTTCAAAGCAGAGGGACTGTGGAGGACAAGGACAAATAAATGACAGTCTTCGGTTTGGCCAAGAGGGCATGGAACCTTTCACCTGCAGCCTTCCAGCCTAAGGGTTTACTTGGAGTGAGGGACCCTGGGCTGCTTGAATATAAAAGAAAGTGAGAGAGTGAAGATCCTAGAGAGAGTTGAACTGACTAAGAGCAAAGCCCCCCAGGTAGGAAAAGGAATAGGGTTGGCTGCAGGGGCTGGGGCAGGGCTG